CACAGATTGCACAATGAACAAATATGACTATATGCAGGTTACTTAAATAATAAAATACACATATGTAGTGAAGAACAAGGACCATGCTATCTGAAATATCATTATATATTCTCTTATGCTGTTGTATAATAGGACAATGGAGACACAAGATTGGATGTGAAGAGAATAAGACACATATAGAGGAGTGAATGTGGGTCACTCCACACAGATAAAACTTATGAACAGATAAAATGATCAAAGTTCTGATCATTATAATGAGGATTAGCATCTTTGTTCCAGTTCTGTCCACTGATCCGGCTCTGGAAACGAAGGCCCGACACTGAGAGTTTGCCCAGATCAAACCTAACAAGCCTTCTTTCTTACAGAGCGTCACTTTAGAGAGCTCAGAGCCGATCGAGGGTCTGACATGATCGCACGACTGCGCCTGTTTAATATGAATTTATGTCATGCTGAGAGAGAATTATTAAGTAGAAGTGAAATGCCATTAAGTCCCTCATGTCACAGACTTGATTGTTATTGGTTGGTGTTATTTTAGTATTATTATTATTATTTATTATATATATATTTTTTAATTATAGTTTTAGTAATTGTGTTATCTGTCTTTTTAAAAAAATATATATTTCTGTTTTTAATTTTAGTTTTAGTAATTGTTGTACGCGCTTTTGTCATTTGTATAATTTTTTTTAAACAAAAATATTTCTATTGTTTATTTTTATATTTTCATTTTAGTTTTAGTAATTGTGTTAGGTGCTTTTGTCTTTTTCATTAGTTTTTAATATATTTCTATTCTTTATTTTCTCTATATATTTAATTGTAGTTTTAGTAATTGTCTTGCGCGCTTTTGTCATTTGTATTAGTTTTTTTTAAACAAAAATATTTATATTCTTTATTTTTATTTTTATATTTTAATTTTAATTTTAGTAATTGTGTTATGTGTTTTTGCTATTTTTATATTTTTTTATATTTCTATTGTTTATTTTTATATTTTAATTTTAGTTTTAGTAATTGTGTTATGTGCTTTTGTCATTTTCATTAGTTTTTAATATATTTCTATTCTTTATTTTTATATATATTGAATTTTAGTTTGAGTAATTGTCTTGCGCGCTTTTGCCATTTGTATTAGTTTTTTTAAACACAATATTTCTGTTGTTTATTTTTATATATTTAATTTTAGTTTTAGTAATTGTGTTATGTGTTTTTGCTATTTTTATCATTTTTTATATTTCTATTGTTTATTTTTATATTTTAATTTTAGTTTTAGTAATTGTGTTATGTGCTTTTGTCATTTTCATTAGTTTTTTATATATTTCTATTTTTTATTTTTATATATATTTAATTTTAGTTTGAGTAATTGTCTTGCGCGCTTTTGTCATTTGTATTAGTTTTTTTAAACAAAAAATATTTCTATTGTTTATTTTTATATTTTAATTTTAGTTTTAGTAATTGTGTTATATGCTTTTGTCATTTTCATTATTTTTATATATTTCTATTCTTTATTTTTATATATATTTAATTTTAGTTTGAGTAATTGTCTTGCGCGCTTTTGTCATTTGTATTAGTTTTTTTAAACAAAAAATATTTCTATTGTTTATTTTTATATTTTAATTTTAGTTTTAGTAATTGTGTTATATGCTTTTGTCATTTTCATTATTTTTATATATTTCTATTCTTTATTTTTATATATATTTAATTTTAGTTTGAGTAATTGTCTTGCGCGCTTTTGTCATTTGTATTAGTTTTTTTAAACAAAAAATATTTCTATTGTTTATTTTTATATTTTAATTTTAGTTTTAGTAATTGTGATATGTGCTTTTGTCATTTTTATTACTTTTTGTTTTTAATATATTTCTATTCTTTATTTTTATACTGTACATATTTCATTTTAGTTTTAGTAATTGTGTTATATGCTTTTGTCATTTTCATTATTTTTATATATTTCTATTCTTTATTTTTTATATATATTTAATTTTAGTTTTAGTAATTGTCTTACGCGCTTTTGCCATTTGTATTAGTATTTTAAACAAAAAAAATTTCTGTTGTTTATTTTTATATATTTAATTTTAGTTTTAGTAATTGTGTTATGTGTTTTTGTCATTTTTATTACTTTTAATTTTTAATATATTTCTATTCTTTATTTTTATACTGTACATATTTAATTTTAGTTTTAGTAATTGTGTTATGTGCTTTTGTCATTTTCATTATTTTTTAAAATATATTTCTATTCTTTATTTTTATATATATTTAGTTTTAGTTTTAGTAATTGTCTTACATGCTTTTGTCATTTGTATTAGTTTTTTTTTTTTTACAAAAAATATTTCTGTTGTTTATTTTTATATATTTAATTTTAGTTTTAGTAATTGTGTTATGTGTTTTTGTTATTTTTATGTTTCTATTGTTTATAGTTTTAGTTTTAGTTATGTGCTTTTGTGTGTGTTTTTTAAATAAATTAGTGCATATGAACCGTTGTGCTATGGCATAATCGTCATGGTGTATAGATATGGAAGTCATTTAGTACCATAATATATCAAAATACTCAACACAAGTTTGACCCCGTTCACCTTTCAAAGCACAGTCAGTGTTTGCCGCACGATTTGCATGCTGCATCAGTGTGAAATGTCAAAACCAAACATGCAGGAAGATTTGCTCATCCGGATACATCCAGTAGTGTGACACAACGTCAAAAGCACAACATGACATCCAGAAACATTGAAGAATGTCACTGGCGAGATGGGATTAGCTCATAAAATCGCATTTCTGCAGAGCTTTTCATGTGAAGGTCACGTCGGCGCATTATAACCGGCCCTTAAGGGCCCCTGCAGAACATTTCAGCTGTATCTGAAGGTTGTGATGTTCATGTGCGCTTGTTTGTCTCTTTGTGATTGCAGCAGTCACCTGACACCATCCCAGGACCCAGCACGAGCGTCACACCCAAACCCAAGGTAAGAGAGTGCAACCTAACGCTGATACGTGAGGAACTGCTACTGTTTGGCCCGCCCTGAATATCATTGACTTCAGTCCATATGAAAGACGAAGAACTCATCTCGAGTGTTTCTCCTAAGACAATGAGTGGAGACTTTTGCTAAAATTTCTCACTTCTCCTCTAGAGTTTAAGATATGTTTCAAACTGTGCTCAGACTGAAAAGGTACCAAAGTTTGCCATCAAAAATCAGAGATCTTGATATAAACTCAATATTTCTCATCAAATTCATCCAAGACTAAGTATGTCAACAATTGTCTTCTGTGAGTGTCTGAGTCATTTAAAAGGGCCTTGCGAATGTTCACATCTCATTTCCTTCAGAAAAAGTTTGCTTCAAAAGTTTCATTGTAATTTTTCCTCAGATTAAATGTATACTCACAGTAAATCTGTTATACTTTTTATATTTTAAATACTATTATAGCATTTGTTTTTAAATATATTTTTAATTTAGCTTTTATTTTTATATTTTCAGTTTTCAGTTTAATTTCAGTTTAGGATTTAGTATTCATTTAAATTTTTGTTTTACATTTTCTTTATTACTAAAACTAATTAAATCTAATCTGTGGTATTTTAATATTATTTTTATAGTGTTTAGTAATATTTTGTATTAGCTTTTATTTTTAGATTTTCGGTTTTTATTTTAATTTCGGTTTGTTTTAGTTTTTTATATGTATATTTCTAATTAGCATTTAATTTATTTTAAATTCTGTGTTATTTGAGCAATTTTAGATATGTCTGGCTAGCTAGCTTTCTATTTTTATATTTTCAGTTTTCATTTAAAATTCATTTAGTTTGAGAAATTTTGTTATGTGCTTGTGGAATTTTTTACTAGCTTTTCCATTTTCTACTTAGCATTATTTTTTTATTTATTTCATTCATTTTGTAAATTTATTTATTATTTTTATTTCAGTTTTAGTTTGAGTCATTTTAGTACGTCAGCTTATTTAATTCTAGTTATTTGCCAAGGAAACATTTCTGATTTTCAGTCTGTTTAATTTTTTCATCCAATATTTATATTTTATTTCATTTTAAATTTGAATTAATGAAACCGATTTTCACAGTTTTAGTTTTAGTTAACAATAACATCACTGCAGTAAAAGACACACGATTGAGAACCCCATGAGGAACATCTGATCAATAGATTCCCTTGAAACCCTCTCTCTTACACTCGTGAAGCTGCTGCTGTTAATCAGTGGATCTGTCGAGTATCTTTTCTCGTCTCATTAGAATCTCTGAAGCTCCTTTACGTGAGCTCTGCTAAACGCTCACGCTAACGGCTAATCGCCCGTGTGTTGCGCTGATGTGCCGCGTGTGCAAAAGAACATACATTAGATTCAAAATCAAACACGTCAGGAACCCCAGAATCCTCTGAAGTCTCTTCTGTTTCATAGATCAGCACATAATGATGAATATAGATGATTATCGCTGACTAGAGATTATGATCTTTATCTGTTTTATTCTTTCAATGACCCCAGAATTTATTACAGCAATAAGCCACGAGAGAGCGAGCATTACCATTATCCAGTCAGAATGTTTGATGTTTAATGTAGAGTTTTGACCAATGAGATTCCACTGTGGGCGGGGCTTTCCTGTGTGATGTCATATAAATAGAATCTCAAAAGACAAAATACTGTTTGTGTTAGAACAAAAGAGCTTTTTATTGCTTGTTGATTTATCACACCTGGGTTTATAGTGATTTTACCACGGTAGGAGGCAATATTGCGAAGGCAGGTCTCTGTAATTGAGTTACTGAGGTAAAATTAATCTAATGCACAGCCTTATTACTTTAATACAATTAATGATAATAAATAAAATCAATACATTTCCAGACATAATGATAATGATCCAGTCAGAATTTATAGTTTAGACTCTATTGTAGCTCCGAGCTGCGAGTCTCTTTGGTGTCAGTCGCTCTGTGGGTCAGATGTCGTGGCCTGGGGTCGTGACCTCTGACCTCATACAGGGCGTCTGCTGCTGAAGGTGTCGCTATCGAGTCTAACGCTCTTATTAAAGCTGATCAATAATGCTGAAGGTGCTTTTGAGTGGATCAGAGACCAGTGAGCCATTGATTAAAACGAGACAGATGGAGGAGAGCTTCAGGAAGAAACGCTGTAAAACCAGTGAATAGATATGCAAACACACACACACCAGCATGTTTGTTTTTCTGTCACGACTTTCTATTGACTTCGATTGCTTTTAGTAGTGCTGTCAAAAGATCACGATTAATCGCATCCAAAATAAAAGTTTCTGTTTACAATATATATGTGTGTACTGTGTATATTTATTATGTATATACAAACACACACACATACAATATATATATTGAAAATATTTACATGTATATATTTATATTCATATAATGTATATTATATATAAATATATTTAATATATAAACATAACATATTTTTCTTAAATATATACATGCATGTGTTTGTATTTATA